GCCCCTTTCTATTTCTTTATATACTGAACTCATTTTCTATCTACATGCAGCCGATTTGCTGCCAGTATAGGTCTGGGATTATTCTAATGTCTTTCCCAAATATGTCAAGGTTACCTAGTAATTCCAACAGTCTTTTATGACGTACCTTATCAAACGTTTCTGCATACTCTATAAAATGAATATGCACCCCCTGCATTTATATTGTTCTTTCTGGTACCATTCTGAGCATAAATATAGCATTCCGTGTTCCATTGTCTTTGACGAACCCGCACTGTTCTTGTCCTATTTCCCGTCGGATTCTTCTACGCGCGCTAATCTCACTGACATATAATAGGTGTGAACGTAAGTCCATAGCTTTTTTAAATTAATTTCATAGACAATATTAAGATATTTGTACATTTATTCAATAATATGTAACCTGTCCTGTTGGGTTTTTTTTTTGTTTTTTTGCTGCCTTATGACATCTTTGATGCAGTTTCATGATTCCCTCCTCCCAGAACTTGACATCTTTATGATTGATAAGCTGGTCTGTTTTTACAGAGTTTCGGATAACTGATGTTCTGCCAATGAAAATAGCTTTCTAGATATCGAAATCAATGGTAATCCAAAGGTTCAAGTTGAGGTGAGTACGTTTGTAAGTTGGACATTCTCACCAAGCTGTAATAATTCTTGTCTGGTTTGCAAAGAGGCGTGAGGAAGACGACACCATTCCGTTTCCGTATTTCTACACGCTTTTCATTAACTGTTGCTTCTAATCAATTTCAATTCAGAACAGTACTTGCCCGAATTCAACATATTATTTTTAGAAAGGAGCTAATAGTACGCAACCCCATTCCCTTCTTCGGCTTTTGAAGTTCCAACAGTTCTCCGTGATATACTTTCAAACGCTTTTCTACCATGCATAAAATACAGGTGCATATCGTTCTGTATTTATTTTTTTTCTTTCTGATATCCTTCTGAGCATAAATATCGCATTCCATTTTTTTCAGCGTCACTAACCAACACGCATTGATCTTGTCCTATTTCTCAAAGTGACCCCTTCCTTTGAGTGTTGGGACAATGGTTCAACCCAAACCTCAAGTGGAACTCATATACACGATACAAAAGACACTGGAAAATAGGTTAACTCCCCATACTGGCTGCAGTATGCCTCTTCACTAGGGTGGCTAAACCAAACCCTGTTGCAGACGCTCGCTCAGGCACATTTGTGTTTGTTCAACCCCCACACAGCCCACCTGTGGTTTATACTACAACTATGCTGAGCTGATCTTAGTTACAGTTTCTGGGAGAGAGCGCATTATCTGGCGTGATCAACAGTCTCAACAAACCCTCGATCACGATGGCTTGTGATTTCGTGCTAGCACAACCATTGACGGTTCCAAAATAGATCCGGCCACCCAATTTTATTCAGAAGGTTTGGGTCAACCCGTGGTATGGTTTTCAGGCACTTTAGAAAGTTTTCATTCCTAGCCAGGCCGATAGCATAAAGAAGTCACTTACCTGACAAATCGACTACAGTGAGATTCGAACCCTGGTCTGGGAGTACGCTCGTTCTAACCACTCGGCAATGTGCCTACTTATAGCTCCTTATACCTCTCCACAAACTACCTGACTGCACCTTCCATGCTCGATGTTTGCAAGAGTAAAATCCGACCAAAAATAGAGTATTGCAGCCACATATTGGCTGAACCTAACAACTACATTTTTAGAGCCTTGACAGTGTTCAGAAATGTTTAGGCGGCCTTGTGGGTGATGAAATATTTTCCACTTTACAACCCCTTTGCCATAGACGCAAAGCCGCAAGACTGTCGCTATTCTATCGTTATTTCTATGGCAAGTGTTCTGACAAGATTCATTCTTTGGTCCCATCAGCCCTGACCTTTAAAGCTGAGACTCGCCATGTCACGTATACAAGGATGAGTCAGACTTATTCTCTTTGTATTTCGTTAGTAAGAAGTCAGTTCCATTCGGACAGCTTCTTCCCAACAACTCCTGCTTTGTGGAGTAGACTCCCGGCAGGATAGTTTCCTAATCACTACAATCTTGGCCTCTTTAAGTCTAGGGTTAATCTTTATTTTCTTCCGTATTCCAATAGTAAAAAGTCAGATTCATTCGGACAGCTTCTTCCCAAGAACTTCTGCTTTGTGGAGCAGACTCCCGGCAGGATGGTTTCCAGTCACTACAACCTCTTCAAGTCTATATTTAACCATCATCTTTTTCTTTCGTATTCCAATAGTAAAAAGCCAATTCCATTCGAACAGCTTCTTCCAAGAACCGTTGCTTTGTGGAACAGACTCTCGGAAGGATGCTTTCCCAATCACTATAATGTTGACTTCTTCAAGTCTATATTTAACCGTCATTTTTTCCTTTCGTATTCCAATAGTAAAAAGTGAGTTCTATTAGGACAATTCTTCCCAAGTATTCGTAATCTATCGTAATCAATTAGTAAGAAGCCATTTTCACTCGGACAATTTCTTACACAGAAGTACTGCTTTGTGGTACAGATTTCCGGCAGTTTTTTCCTCGATCACTACAGTCTTAATCCCTTCAAGTCTACGGTTAACCTTTATCTTTTCTGCATAACCTCAAAGACTTCTCTTCATTCCTTTTCTTACGCTCATACAACTCTGTACAGTCACCCTCAACCTTTAGATGCTCTTGGGTCTTGTATTCTTTGAAAATTAGTGTAAAATATCACTATTATGATTATCACAACGACGAGCTTGAACAAAGACAAACATGGCACCACATATTACATAACCATGATTCGGCCTTCCTTCCTGTTACCGTTTTTAACTTATCCGCTAACTAATGCCAAATCGTTTGCTTTACCAATCATAGCCACTTACGAGTTTTCTGTGTCTTTCTTCTTCTTTTTATATGTATTGTATTCCTTCAGGGCGCGTGTGATCATCGCCCTCTACAACTTCCTTTCCTTTGTAGCTCTAAGTAATATTTGTTCGCTTGATATCCTTTTATTCCCTGTTCAGTCATCCCTTTACACACGCTCGTTATATTTAATTTCTTTTTATCTTTTCTTCAGTATATCCTCTGAGTGTCAAATTCTCTATGTCTTCTTTCCTCATTGTCCCAGAAATTTGGCTTGTATTCTTCTGATTCTAAGTATAACTTTCATCCTTCAGCGGAACCACACCTCATGTCGTCTCTTCATCTGTGAGGAAATTGTCCTGCATTCCCGGCCATATAGGAGGTCTGATATTACGTAGCATTCTTTTCTTTGTTTCTAACAATACTTTTTTTCCCTGTTCCTTAATACTTTACTTAGCTTTGAGAAGGCATATTTCGTTATTCCAATGCGCCGTCGAATTTCTGCGTCTCATTTTTGTCCTCTGTTATAAAGCTTCCTATACAGACCAATTTTTGGACTTTATTTTGACTAACCCAATTTATATCTCATATCTTAGGCTCTTATCTTTGTTGACAACAATAAATTCTGGTTACTTTATCAATATACTTATAGATTCAAATAGAAACGACTATTTTTTACCAATCACCGAATCTATCATATGTTTACAGGCTCAAATACAGGCTGTGCTAGGATTAATGATCTTTTTTAAGGAAATTGAGCAAATTAAAAAAAGTGACACAATTTCCTGTATATTACTTAACTACGATACAAAAAAAAAATAATAGATGTATGAATCTTACGTCAAAATTTTATTTAAAACTATCAGTAGAGCCCGGCGTTGCCCGGGGATGTAACAGTAAGAGATAGATCAAGTATCGACCATCATAAAGACTGAAAAATAAAATTGACAAAGATTATTGTTTAAGTTTGACGGACCCGCATGTCTTAATTAGTTTTTTTTTTTTTTTTTTTTTTACGAATTGGTCAAACCCAAACTCAAACAAAAATATTGTTTTCAATCGTTATGAGTCTATCGATTGAATAGAATTTTATTATAAACAATTGTCTTGTAAATGGAATTTTTAAAGCATTCTGAATGTAAAATTAAAGAAAAAAGTGTGCAAGACAATAAGAAACACTACCTGCCAAAAAAAAAGTGAAGTTTTGTTGAAATCGGATGAAAAATGTAGGAAATCCGATCCCATATATAAACGGACACACACACACACACACACACACACACACACACACACATAAACAAACTAGGTTTTATAATGAGTATAACTTGATATGAGTTGTCCCTCTTTCATTCTCGAAACAGCGATGCCTCTTAATCGTGTTTTCAAATTGATTTCGTGCAAAAACAATTGTGTTTTTCCAATTTTTGGCGCTGTCAGAACCACCGCAAGGTAATTTTACGTAGTCCTGTAAAGTTTTGTTGAAATCGGTTGAAAAATGTAGGAAATCCGATCCAATATATAAACGTACAGACACACACACACACAACCTGGGTTTTGTAATAAGTATGATTTTCAACATGTGCACCGTCTATATCCTTTCAAATTTCAAATCTATCCTTCGTCTTGTGAAACACATTTTGAAGCAGTTTAGGAGTTATCTTCTTCACTGCTTACTGAATGTGTTCTTTAAGTTCAGTTCAACTATAAATATTTTGTCGATAATACTTTGTTTTTATGACACCCCATGCTAAGAAATCTGATGTGTCAATTCATTATTAATAGGATTCTGAACGGAAATGAAAATAAAATTAGAAAAACAAAAGCAGAAAAAATTATGACGTAATAAACAAAATTAGAAATTTATAAACTTCTAACACATATTAAAAATGATGAACAGAAATAATAGTGAGATTTTTAAAAAAATTGTCTTATTACACTGAAATATTTAATTCTAGGACGCACTGTAGAAACGCCAAATATTTACCAATCCTCTAACTAAATAAGTGCTTATAGACTCAAATATAAACCACCAATATTTACCAATACTCGAATCAAGTAAATACCACTAGAGTCAAATACAAACTACCAATTTTTACCTATCACTGAAGTAAGAAAATGTTTACAGACTCAAATATAAGCACCAAATATTTACCCATCCCAGAATTAAATAAATGCTTACGACGACCAATATTTACCTCCAATATTTACCCCTCTCCAATATTTGCCTCTCTCCAATATTTACCCCTCCAATATTTACCTCTATCCGATATTTGCCTCTCTCCAATATTTACCTCTCTCTAATATTTACCTCTCTCCGATACTTGCCTCGCACCAATATTTACCTCTCTCCGATATTTGCCTCTCTCCGATATTTGCCTCTCACCAATATTTACCTCTCTGATATTTGCCTCTCTCCAATATTTGCCTCTCTCCACTATTTGCCTCTCTCCGATATTTACCTCTCTTCGATATTTACCTCTCTCCAATATTTACCTCTCCCCGATTTTTACCTCTCTCCAATATTTGCCTCATTCCGATATTTGACTCTGTCCAAACCAAGTAAAAATGCATCTCTGTTTCTTACCCTTGTTGACAACCATACATTCCATCTTCTTAAAATTGATGGTTAGTTTTTTCTTCCGGTTTTCCTTTAATACCTCGTCCAGGAGTTCCTGCGGTTCCTTTGTATACCAGCAGCATAGTATCACCTGAATATCTTGAATATTGTATCCACCGATAAAAAATCCTGGTAGGAATTTTAGTTCTCTTATGATTGCTTCGCTTCGAAGTTTAAATAAATGCAGTTTGAAGACGTATCCTTGTCTCATGACCTTTTCTGTTGTTGTGTACTTCATTCATTTTCTATTTGTATCTAGTCGGTCTGTTCTCAGTTCAACCACATTGTCTAGTTATTGGCGTTGCACACCTGGGATAGACAAGGAAGAATAATATAATCGATTCTGATCAGTCATCTCGACTTCAGTTACTTTCTCAGCGACGTGACGTCTCTTCCCTCTGTCTTTTTTACAAATATTTTCTGATAAGCTTCTTACCCTAGTGCCCAAAATACATGAATTTAAGCGCGCTACTAGATTGGCATCTCGGTCCCACCCGTTTATTGATGAAATAGCTAAATGCACCGCCACTTCTACCTCAATATTTTCTTTTCTCGCACTTCCCGATTGGGGAACGCATTTGCGTTTACTTGCTTCCCAGATAACTACAGTCTTCAAAAATTTAAATGCAATGTCAGTCGCCATCTTCTGTCTTCTTGAATCCCGTTCATCTTTTCACCTTTCTTCAATCCTCCCTATACTCTGTCTTTTCTTTCATTTTAACTACTACTAATCTTTAACTACTCAGCGGAAGTGCAATTTTTATTACTTCCGGAAGTTCACTTCCCTCACTTTAGACAGTCGAAACATAAAAGTGTATGTGGGGGAGGAGCAATAAGCAAGTAAAACCTAACCGAGTCAAATAAAGCAACCAATAATTATTGCTCCCCAAACCAAGTAAATTCTTAAGTATAAAGACTTAAAGATAAATAACCAATTTTTACTCATTCCCGAGCCATGCAAATGTTTACTAACTAAAATGTCAACGTCAAATATTTACCAATCCCCGAACTAAATAGATGCATCTGACGACCAATATTTACCTCAATTAAATGTGTATAGTGTTATGTATACTCAAGAGTGGTCTCCCCTTATTTTGTTACTCTCCTATTTGAGAGAGCTATTTCTGTTTACTAGGACTATAAAAGGACACCATACACGAACCTTGTATTCTCAGTTGAATAAAGCTTTCTTAAAGCCTATACTGAATACTTTTGTCATTGCACTTAGTTACCAGGATAGGTAAATATTTGTTGTTTACATATTTGAACCTTTAAACATATACTTGGTTCAGAAATAGGCAAAATGTTAGTGGTTCATATTTGAGTCTAGAAGTATTTACTTTGTCCGGGAATAGATAAATATTGGTCATTTATATTTAAATCTATAAGCATTTATTTTTCTGACATATGCAAATATAAATTGTTTATATTGGAGTCTCTATATAAGTATTAACTTAGTGTCATGAATAATCAAGAATGGTTTCCCCTTGTTTTGTTACTGTCCTCTTTCAGAGAGCTATTTCTGTTTACTGGGACTATAAAAGGACACCATACGCAAACTTTGTATTATCAATTGAATAAAGCTTTCTTAAAGCCTCCATCTGTGTACTTTTGTCATTATATATAGTATGAAATTATAACGGCCAATCTCTACAAATTCTCGAACAAAGTAAATACTACAAAACCAAGTATAAATAACCAAAACACCTATCCCCAAACAAGTAAACACCTATAGATTCAAATATAAACGGCCAATGTTTATATCTCCCCGAAACATTGAAATGCTTATAGACTCAAATATAAACGACAAATTTTTACTTATTCCCGAACTAAGCAAATGTTTACAGACTCAAATACAAACGCCAAATAAAGAGTGTTTCATTAAGACGGATTATATATAAGGGTATTTCATTAAGACGGATCAAAGTCAGCAATAAATAAATCAGTCTTATTGGTGAAAAATTATTTATTTCTCTATTGGATCATGTTATTTAAGTCATGGCAATTATGTGTGAAAAATAATATTGTCCAAATGTCCGCCAAGGCTTCGGCGGCAACCCCCACTGGATGGTCAACATTTTTGATGACGTCTCCGCATAGTTGTTCTTCGATCTCACCAATATGCTTTATTATCTCATTCTTCAGCTGTTGAATTGTTGTTGGCTTGTTGGCATAGACCTTACTTTTGAGATGGCCCCCAAAGGAAGAAATCTAAAGACATCAGGTCACACGATCATGGTGGCCAATTGACTTTGCTGTTTCGAGAAATGATGCAACCTGGCAACTTCTCATTGCATTTCTGTTTGAACGTTCATTTTCGTAATAAGCTTCGATAATTTTAACACGTTGTTTGATAGTTAATCTTTCCATGGTTGAAATTGCCAAAGACTTAAGTTGTTAAATCTGAAAGAAAAAGAAAAAAAAATCATTAGACGCATAATTCACATTTAAAATCGGCCCAAGTTATTGGAATACACTTTATTTACCAATCCCTGAACTAAAGAAATATTTACGATGACCAATATTTACTTCTCTCCAAACCAAATGTGTATAGTACGAAATTTAAATGGACTGTCTTTACATATTCCCGAACGACGTAAATGTTTCTAGACACAATTTTAAATGACAAATATTTAACTCTCTCTGAATAAGGTAAATACTCCAAACCAAGTATAAAGGCCAATAATTACCTACCCAGAAGCAAATAAATGACTCATATTAACCTATCCCCGAAATAGTACATGCTTACATACTCAAATATAAACAACTAATATTTATCTAACCCTGAGTCAATTAAATGCTTATAAAATATTAACCTTCTCTTTTGATTTTCTTCAATATTTATGCAAAGTCTCTTTGATTTACGGTGGAATAAGAGGTTATCCTGAAGTCACCCGCCCTCATATCAGTCAGTCACATTAGTCTATTTCAACAAGTAGAGAAAAGCGAAACTATCCAGTGTAATGGTGTCTTAATTTTGGGGGGCGCTTCAGTTTAAACACACACACAAAATCCATAAAATTTAAGGTTAGGTCAAATTAAACAAATTATATAATTAGAAGGAAGTCGACATTATAACCCCCGGCTTCTACCCAACGTCACGACTAGGCAGTCGACATTATATTTAATGAGTTAGCAGCTCGATGAAATTAACCGCCAGTCATTTTCTGTAAAACTGAGATTCAATTTGCAATGTTATCGCGCATGTAAACAAATCTCGTTCTTCGCGAGATTTTGCATCACGAAAGCCAATAATAATAACATGAACAACAACAAAAAAGGAAACAAAAAGAAACTGTTAAAAAAGGAAAGAAACTTAAGAAAAATTACTTGAAAATTAAATTATGCATCTCATTAGTCCTTAAATGACAGTTGACGAGCAAAAGTTGAAGGTGAAAATGTTAAGAATGCAGACGACAATAAAAAAAGAAATTAACAGGAGGCAAATAAGAAAATAATTTCATTGATTGATGAACATGTGAAGTCATTTTGATATGGATAAACACATTTGGAATAAACTATTTAAATAAAATTTTCATTTGAAGAAATTAACTCTGATGAAAATTCTACGCTGGGCGATTTTGCACGCCATTATTCGAATCTCGTACTTGCAAGTAATAAATATTTTCGATGTAGTCTTTAAAGTATTATAAAATGCATTTATGACTCTTGCATAATAAAAATTTTATAATTATGACTTTTTATTAGACGCATGAAGCACGAATCGAATATTTATATTTCATGTGTAATTTGCAATTTGGCTATAACAAACAATACTATATTTACATTATTGGTGTTCTCATCTTTGTTGCCATATTCACGGCGTTTCGGCCTTTGTACGCTTCGGCCTTCGAACTCAACACATTATTTCGTCCACTGGGGAGAACTAGTTCTAGTTCCACGTGTCAAACCTCTTCCGGATGTCTCAGTATCAGTTATCTTCCTTTAACTCAACTCTTCAGGTTTTTTGATCCCCTCAGCTGTAGCCAGTATTGAACTCACAACTCTTTGGGTCAAAGTCACTGGATTCAACAAATGCATCTATCCACTGGGACATTTAGACAGATCCTGAGGAAGGCCAGAGAGTACAACGGGCGAATAGGGAAACAAAGATGAGGTCAACAGTACGAACAATGTAAATAGTGTAAATAATTACAATATCTCATCTCAGAAATATAGACGAGCAATTCTTTTTTCTACGAATTTTGAGAAATTCTTATTTTTTTCTTTTAGAGTAGTTACATTGGATGATTTTAATGCTTATTAACCTTTGTTAAGTTAGTTAATGTCGTGTTTAGCATAAGGTGCCCGGTGAGGAACCAACTCACAAATCATGGCTAAATAGACTGGCCTCGTTAACCATTACCCAAAGCCAACACTCCTATTTAGTTAAATTGGTTGATGTTGCAACCTTTTTCGGCTATTTAATGCTGAATTTTGCTTAGGGTACGTAGCGAGAAACCAAATCACTTCTCAGGGCCAATAACCTGTCTAGCCCTTAACCCAGGGCGAGGGACCTTTCTGACATTCAGAATTTTTATCTCACTATATTTTCACATTTTTTTTACATTAAAGCAAGTAAGTTCATATTTGCTTAGGTGTCGTAGGATACTACAGATATTTTGGTTCTGGGTTGTCATTTGATCAAATAAAGAAAACACGACAAAAACTTTACAATTGACAAAATCTCAGCTGTTATATCAGCTGCAGTATTGGGAAAACCGAAAGATGACGATATCATGTTAGAATACTGTTAACCCATCTAAGGTCGTAGGAGAACCACGTCTTGTAGCCATAGCATCTGCGATGTGCCTAGAGTAAGGTAAGCTGACCGAGCCAATCCTTTTTTAGGTTGATTTTGATTTCAGAGTTGTTGTTCTCCTAGACTGAGTGCCCTGACAAGGCAAACGAGTACAGAATGCCCTGCTATTTAATCCATAGCTGGAGAAGGATGGACTTTAAGAGTCTTTTAAAAGAGTATTAGCGTGAAGTGAATGAAACAGAATCGACATG